ATGGCTATAAAAAGATTTTATCACTTACCATAAGGTTCATGCGACCAGCTTCTCCTTTTTATTCCCTCCTTAACCCTTGTGCATTTTAGGTTTTAAGGATAAACACAAAATTTATTTCATTTTTTTAGAATTTGAAACTTGTGTAATGCTATGTGTGTTTTGAAAGTTATAGATGATTTTGAAATGCCACTTAGATGCTTTTCTTAACTGGAAAATTATAGGGTGTTATTTGTAAATACAAGTGGGAGGAAGGACTCCGTAATCTGGTTTACAGAAATCCATAATAATGTAGTTTAATAGTCCTAGTTCCTCATTAGGATTCCTTAACACTGAAGGAGAGCAAAAAATAATTACTGTTTTAAGATGAAGGACGTTATTGGCCTGCAGATTACTTAAGTGCTGAATAACTGCTGAATATTTTTTATTTACTTGTATTAGTAACCAGGGTAACGTGAGTTTAGAGACTCTCAACATTTTTATGCTGTTGTGATTCAGTGCATCACTCTTCTTTGTCACAGCATTGAAAACCAGCTTGAACAAATTTGTCCATAAGGTTTATTTAACAGTCTTTCCTGTAATATTTTGCTTTTTGAAAATCTTTTTCAAGAAAAATGATGCTGAAGAATATTATAAAGAAAGACTATTGAGTGGTCTGCTGTAATATTCAAATTCTTGAAGGGGACTGTGCTGCTTTAGGTGTAAAATAAATCCATGAGTAAAGCCATAATGTGATTTAGAGCCCTTCATAGAGAGGAATTTGGTAACAAGAGAATGAAACTTTCGTATTTCTTTTGAATTTTGTTTCTGTAATCATGTGTTGTAACAGTTTTCCAATGTGACTGTAATTTGCAATTGGCTACAGTGTAAAATATAAAGAAGTTTAGGGAAGGTGTTCCAAGGATGGTGCTGGGTTTTGGAAAACACCATCAGTTAGTTATATTTTACAGAATCACAGACTCACAGAATGGTTGAGGTTGGAAGGGACCTCTGGAGATCATCCAGTCCAACCCCCCTGCTCAAGCAGGGACCTCTAGAGCATATTGCCCAGGATCACATCCAGACGGGTTTTGAATATCTCCAGGGAAGGAGACTCCCCAACCTCTCTGGGCAACCTGTTCCAATGCTCTGTCACCCTCACAGTGAAGAAGTTTTTTCTCAGCTTCAGGTGGAACTTCCTGTGGTTCAGTTTCTGCCCGTTGCCTCTTGTCCTGTCGCTGGGCACCACGAAGAAGAGGCTGGCCTCATCCTCTTGACACTCCCCCTTCAGATACTTGTACACGTTGATGAGATCGCCTCTCAATCTTCTCTTCTCCAGGCTGAACAGGCCCAGCTCTTGCAGTCTTTCTTCAGAGGAGAAATGCTCCAGTCCCCTCATGATCTTGGTAGCCCTCCGCTGGACTCTCTCCAGTAGTGCCATGTCAAATGGCACATTACAAATGATAAGGATTCCTGGAATGGACAGAGCTAATGGAAAGAGCTTTTGGTCCCGCTCATTCCTTCTCTTGGGCAAGCAAAGCTCTTCGTGGAGCGCCTCCCACACAGGCTGAGCTTGCCGTGCTGAGTAGAGCTGGGTTTGAGGCCTGCCCGTGAGCCTTGTGGGTCAAGTGGAGACATGTAAGCATCGTCTTACTCTAGTTGTTGTGGTAACTGATAGTAAATGTGGACCTTTCTCATGTATCCTGTAAACACAAACATGCATAACACATGAAGAGTATGACACTAGATTTCTAATTAAAGGTTTTTGTAGTTTAGTCAGGGCAGCTACTAATACATAGAGCAGAGCGCTCTTGACGTGCCACTGCAGACGGCATTTTTAGCTTAGTTTTGTTTTCTTTCTAAGAGTTACAAATACCTTTCAAAAGTACTCCAGGAAAGCTCAGCAGCTAAAGAAACCAAACAAAGATTAACCTTTAACCACTAGCCATGCTCCTGCTAGCTATTCCTATGGCCCAGCGATAGCCATCTGACATGATAAATGTCTGATGCCGATCTGGAGGAATGTTATTATTTGTTCCTTAGGGAAACCAAAATTATATTTGTAGTTCACAAGGGAAAAGAGAAGTAAGAACATGGAAAATGCTTACAAAGAAGTAAACATGTGCTCCTTGGATTTTTATGAAGTTCTGCCAAAACTTTAAGCTAAGCTATAGGAACCAAACTAAATGAGCTTACTTCTAGTTAAGTCTTGGCTCATGATGCTTTACATTATTCATTGTAAAAGACAACTTTTTAATCAATACTTACTAAAGAAGCGTCTGTTGCCTTTAATGAGGAAGCTCTGAAATACATTCATGGAACTCGTAAACTAAGTAAAAGTCATTTTGTGCTGACTTCTTCACGTAGCTTTCCATCTTAGATGCAAGGTCTTTGCTTTAAGCTTTATTTCAATGTATCAGCTCAACTTTTCTTCTCTGTCGCCCAACGTTTGCTGGGAGTTTGATAAGTAAAGCACTTCCAGGGTGTTTAAAGGAAATGCCCAGTTTTCCTGAGATACCCATTTGCAGCTTTCTGAGAACAATGTTATTAACTTCATAGAAATTTACAGTCTTCATGAGTGTATGAATACTACCGACCTGAATGTATAAATACTGTTGATGATGCAGCCGCCTTATTAATATTACGTGCAAAATCTGCAGTATGTCTTAATGTCTATTTTTAGTCATCTAAAAGTTAGGCATTCCATCTCGGAAAGTTGTCTTATATGGCTGTATGAAGTAGAAGGAGGAGAGGAAGCTTCAAGAAAAAAATGTCTGTACCTTTAAAACTTGGTTAAGAGTGAAACGAGTCTCTTTTGTGGAGTCTCTCTCTCACATTGCCTCTTATGGAGGAGCTGTGGAACTGGAAGCACCTAGTGTTGGATTGTCTTTTAGAAGTTTGAAATTATATACAATGATTCCCCCTCATTTTTTGGTTGCAAAAATTACAAAAAGAAAGAATTTCAATGAAAAAATCTCAGCAGTACTGTTACAGGCATGAGAGTAACTTCCTTCATTACTAGAAGTAGGTTCACAAATGTGAACTCTGCGGTCCTAAGTGTCTTCCGTTTTGATGTAAATTTTCAAGACCTTTCGGTATCATTCAAGAATAGTTTGCAAGATACTTGTGAATTCATGTCCTTTGCTGCCTTGAAGATTTTATGGGATGTCTCTTGTTTCCTCGTGGTGTACTCAGAGGTTGTTCTTACCTGGAAGACCACAGATACAGTTTCTAGTCAGGAAAAAAAGAGGTTAAGTACATGTTTAAAATCTGGGTACTAAAAATGTGGATGCTATTTTAGTTTTGCAAAGTCATAACTTGAAAGCAAGATTTCAACTATGTCTTCTCCAGGAAGCTTCAGGTATATTTATGTTGACTAGGTGAAGTAAATAATTGGCCAAGTCTGGAATTTAATCCTATTGTGGGATTTCCAATTCTTATTTTATTATTGTTGTTTTTAAACTGACTTTAGTAGTAGATACTATCAGACTGGCTTTGATGGTAGCAGAGCTGGATTTTTGAAGTGTCTACTTTTATAGTTTTACAAGAGACTTATTAATGTTTTTAGAATTAATCACTGCTTGCCAGTGAATCCATGAAGAGGAGGCATATATATGTATGTCAGTGCAGAATCTCACACTAATTCTGTATGATTTGGACTGAAATCCCTGTCTGTCTTGAATAAAAATTGTTCTGCTGTACAGAAGCCTATATGAATATTGATGTACAATAGTTGTGCTATATTATCACGGTGAAATGTAAAGTCTACTGTAGTAAGGACAGTTCTGCTGCATGCCAGAGTTCGCACCATGGTTAACGTCAGCTGCTTTGGGTGAGGAAAGGGACATACCTGGAAGGTGTATACTGTTGTCATTCTGGAGCAAAGGGATTGGTGCAGACCCGCTGCTGGTTTCGATGGAGGACAGCCTTTGGACTCCTTGTGTTACAGCTCTCTGGTTGGCGTAGATGGGCGACGTGCTTTACTTCAACCAACAAATACTTACGTTTTGAAATGCTAGTTTAGGTGACGCCAAGCAATGCAAATAAGTTCTATCGGAAATCCTCAGCCCTTTTAAGAGGAATAGCTAATTCTTAAAGATATTTTTGCACTTATAGACAATAAAAACTGTTATACAGAGGAGTATCTGAAATGCTGCTACACATTTGTGTGGTTTGTACCGTGATGTGGCTCAGTAATAAGGACTGCTGTGGAGTCCTTTTGTTGGTATCCTTTTTTGTTGACTTATTTTTACAAAAGGGGTGGAAAAAAGCGATTGCTACACAAATTTCCTGAAAGTGACAGCTGGTTGCAGTAGATGACTAAATATGATGTCCTGCTGTCTGACGACGCTATCTTAATAGAGGATTTGAAAACAAGTACCGCTTTATTCTCCTGAATATTTTGGATTGTTCTGCTGTCTCAGCTTACTCTTCTGTGCTCCGTTCCTCAGACTCCCAAAGGTTACAGCTTCCTTGCATACGTCATATCTAATTTCTGTGACTGAGTGCGATTCCCGTGTTTGCCCCAAAAGGTGTACAGTGAGCCAGGTTTGACCCCGAGTTCATAAGGACCAGAGGCTGCGTGAGCTAAACAAAGAAGCTGCTCTTTCTGGGGAAATGCAGTCCTGGAAAGCTGCTGTGGTTTTACTTCTGAGGCCTACTGGGTATTGGGGCTGGAAATATGGACAAGTTATGCCATTTGGCTGCCTGTAGCGGCCTCTGGTGGCAGCTCGCCCAGCACCATGGCTCTAACCTCTCTTTCCAAAGTGAGCATCACCAGCGGCACTGCTGTTTCCCTCCGCTGGAAATGAGTGTACTGCAAGTATGTTCTTCACCTGTGTCCACAAGGCTAATTGCTACTGCTTTCCCCTCCCTGACCCGTATGGTTTTATAAAGCAGTTCGGAAACCAGTTATCTCATTCCTGAACAGAGTCATTAAAAGTACAATAATAAAGTGTGTGTTTGCACCAGCTATAATACAAAAAATGATTAATTTACTAATTGGTTTATGTATTTGTTTTCAGCAACAGGTTTGCAAGATGATAATGCATCAGGAGGAAGGATCAGAAAGTTGAGTGTCGGACAGTATGACAACGATGTCCAAGGGCAGCCAACGTACACGAGGTGTGGATGGGTGAAGTCTCCTGCTGTTGACCAGGCTATAAATCCAGGATCGCTAATTGCTGCAGGGGAGACCAAAGAGGTAAACAATGAAGAACTATTCAGAAACATTTAATGAAGTGAACGGCCGGTGGGGCCCCACGTTCATGTTCAGTGTCCAAATCAATGTTGAGCAATTTGCATTTGATCCTGGCAGTAAGAATGAATGACCGTAGTTAGCTCAGAAACGTAATTCCGTGTTGCAGGCTGTCGTGCTGTTATCCTCTGTAGGTATTTTTGTGGTTTCAGTGTTCCAAGATCTCTCTGGGCAAGGGAATCAGAGTATTTGAAATCTTCTAAAATCTAATGAAAAATACCCCACTATGTTACCCCCACTAGGAGTAAGCGGGAATTTTCACACTATGATTTTGCTCTTTTGTGCCCTTCCTAGATGGCTGTGGCGTGTTACCAAGATGAAATAGATGGGGGAATCTTCTCCCCAGCCAACAATGGAAATGAAGCTGTCTCATCCACACCAGCTTTTCCACTGTCACCAGAGACACCATATGGTAAGAAACATCCGCCTCATTTTTTTTTTTTTCTTTTCGTAGTGCTATTAGCATTTTACCTGTCATTGAAAAGGAATTTTCCTTTTCCTTCCCTTCTAGTGAAAACACCTCCGCTATATCATCAACGGATTCCCTCTGGCCAAAAGGCCAGCAGCCCATCTGAGCTGTACAGAACTGGTCCTGGTAAGAGTCCCATACTTAAATAATTTGAAACTGAGCTGAGTATGAAGACAACTAACCAAACAGTAGTTATTCCTTTATAAACAGGGCATGTGCCTGCTGAATGCAGGTATGCGCAAGTCAGAGAAGTAGAATTTAGCCTTCGCACAGAGGCTTGTGTTGCTCTGCTATCAAAATAGCACTGCCAAAAGATTTGATTTCCTTGTAATTTTTATGTTGGTATTGGCTCCATCTGAGCAAGGAGTAATGAGCTCCATGGTGCCATCTTGCAGTGCTTGTGCAGCTAGCAATAGAGCTTGGCAATATCTGTGCTCAAGTCAAGCAAGTCAAGAAGTTTTTTAGTCAAAAGAATGAATGTTGTGGGGTTTTGTTATTGATTTTTTTTTTTTTGGCCACAACACAGTTTGTAAACATGCAACCTGGAAAAGTAGTTGGTAATAGATAATTACTTAAGCAGAGTTTAAAGGGTTAGTGTGATCTAGCTATGAATTGCTAATAAAGAACTCTTCTTGTTGACCTTAACTTCCTGCTGCTAAAAATACGGTGATATGTCCTTCACCAGGTATCCCCTCTAACTCTGAGTCAAAATTCATGCATTATTTTTGCTGAGTGTACATTGATAAGTTATTTTGTTTTGTTATCATTTGACCATGTATGGAGAATTTCCAAATGTTTTATGTTGCCTCCATAGAAGTATATAAGCAGCTTAATGCAAAAAAAAGCTTTATATAGTGTAATGGCTTAGGTGAGGGTGGCTCAGGTCCCTACTATTCCAGTTCCATCTTTGTTCACCAGAGTGCCCTCTGCTGATCTGTTGCGCTTTGGGCAGATTGGAGAACATCATGATGGGTGTTAGCTGGCACACATAGGAAATTTGTCACCCTCTTTTCATCTGCTCTTCAAAGGTTCGTTCCTTGGGAGTTTTTCATAGTGAGGTTGTGTGATATTTGTAAGATTGCCTTTTTTTGTTTGTTTTTCCTGTAATACTTTTTTTAATTTTGTTGAAAAAGTATAAGAAAAATTGCTAGCTGTCACTTTTCTGGACAAATGATGAGTCTTGTTTTTGACAAATGATGAGTCAGTCTGGTGCAAACTGATTTTAAGACGGTAAGTTAAAAAATGAAGTAAATGTTTCATATGACTGCATCAGAAAATACTGGACATAGGAGAAAGCTCATATAATTTATTTAAAACCTTAATAAAAGTCTGAGACATTCATTTAACTTGTATGCATTAGAAGATGTTCAGATAATTATATATATATATATATATGTATGTATGCACACACAAACAGTACACACACACAACACTCACATACACGCACATATATTTTTATACTTCATAAAAAAAAAAAATAAAGTATAGTTATATTGCCTAGGCTGCAACTGTCGTTTCAGGTAGGCTCTTGAAAGTAGAGTTTCCAATAAGTTTGATACGGTTAATTTTGATGCAATAGCAGCTATAGTGTTGTGTTTTTAACTTTGGAAAAATGCCTTCTTTAATTTGTCTCATTTAATAGTTAGCAAAAGCAAATAAAATCATCACAGAATGAAATTTTCCTGGAATGAAATCTTTAGTAATAAAGCAATCTTCTGCAGGGTTCAGGACGTCTGTTTACGGTTCAGTTGCTGTGGCTTTGACCTTTACTCTCTCAGCTCTTAAACAATTTGAAGTGAATATACTCCTGAGGTCAGCTTCAGCAAATCAATTACAGTTTGCTTACCTTGAATTAGTCTAATGATTACTTTGATGTTGTTGTTGTTAGATGGTTTCCAGTGCTGTTCCTAACAGTTGGGACTCGCCATGGAAGAATTAAAGTGTTTCTCAGCATATTTCTCTTTATTTCGTTGGAATTCAGGAGGAGAATCACCAAGTGCTGTCCCCTCTTAAATGCTGGTTTCAGATGCTCAGTTAAGGTGGCCCCTGAAAGTAATGACTCTAGCTTAGAACAAAGCAGATAGATCTCTCTTGCAACATAAAAATGAGGATTGTTTTCTGTCCCTTTAAAAATGACTTTCAAGGCCTTCTGTGAGAGAGGTGGAAACTCTGAGCTGAGCCTCAATGACATAACAAGGCTTTTTCTGTCCCTTGTTGACAGTCTTCTTCCTCAGAGACATGACTAATAATATGAGCATTAGGATGGGTAGAAGAAGAGACCTGCAAGATGGATAGTTCTTCTAATAGGCTGTGTCTGCTTTCTGCTTGCAAATGATTGTGTGTTGATTTGAGATGTTTAGCAAAAGTAAATATCAAGTAGAGAGGGTCAAATCTTGGCCAATAGCATTTGGGCAGGAATATTAATATAACGTTAATAAATGGTGTGGCAGATGTGCTTGTTCCCTGATATTACTCAGTAGGCATTTTCAGGGCACAGACTGGATAGTATTAAATGGGTTATTTTATTTTAAATGCGCAGAGTGTTAAGGCCTTTGGTGCCTTGGTGCATACTCTCAAAAACAGACCTATAGCCGTGACTATTGGTATCTCAGTAGACTCTTGTGTGGCCTACAATTTTTGTAGTCGTTCAGTTCATGAATGGGCTGTCATTATATCTCCCTCCGATTAGCTGTATCCTACTCCTTTTTTCCTCATAAATTTCTTTAAGGCTTCCTGCCTGTGTCGACTAGAGGTGACCAAATTCCTGTTCAGCACTTGTTCTCAGAAGTGAGCAAGTTTCACCTTCGTCGCTCCGTGCTGAGGCATGCAGTTCCTTGCTACAAGCATCGC